GATTGGGCCTTGTATGCAGATGGGGGTCTACGGTTCAGGGGTTTGTTGGTGGTTCCTACGGTTTATCGTGAGGACGTCTTACGGGAGTTTCACACTTCCCGCTTTGCAGTTCATCCAGGTGGTACCAAGATGTATCACAATTTGAGACGTCAGTATTGGTGGAATGGGATGAAGAAAGATGTTGCACAGTTTGTGGCTAGATGCCTTACCTGTCAGTAGGTGAAGGCCGAGCATCAGAGACCAGCCGGTTTGTTGCAACCATTACCTGTAGCGCAATGGAAATAGGAGCATATTGTTATGGATTTTGTGACAGGTCTTCCAAGGTCACAAAGGGGCAATGAGTTCGTATAGGTCATCATTGACAGATTGACCAAGACGGCTCACTTTTTGCCTATTAAGGCAACAGATGATGCAGAGAAGCTTGGTGTTCTTTATGTGAAGGAGATTGTAAGGTTGCATGGAGTTCCAGTAACCATTGTTTCAGATAGGGATGCCAAGTTCACTTCGAAGTTCTGGGAAGGACTTCAAGCAGCGTTTGGCTCAGCGTTGTATCTGAGTACGACATTCCATCCACAGACTGACGGTCAGTCAGAGCGTACTATCCAGATTTTGGAGGATATGCTTCGGGCATGTGTGCTTGACTTGGGTGGTAGTTGGGAGGATCACCTTCCACTTATTTAATTTGCCTACAACAACAATTATCAGGCGGGTATTCAGATGGCTCCATTTGAGGCGTTGTATGGTAGACCTTGTAGGTCTCCTGTTTGTTGGACTGAGGTAGGCGAGATAGCCGCCTTAGGACCCGACATTGTACTTGAGACTGCTGAGAAGATTAAGTTGATAAGACAGAGGTTACTTACAGCTCAGAGCCGACAGAAGAGTTATGCGGATAAGTGAAGACGGCCGTTATCCTTTGAGGTGGGAGACCACGTTTTTCTTCGGGTTTCTCCACGGAAGGGATTGATGCGATTCGGGAAAAGTGGCAAGTTGTTGCCACGATTCATTGGACCGTTTGAGATCTTGGACCGAGTAGGAGAGGTTGCCTACAGACTTGCTTTGCCACCACAGATGGACAGAGTCCACAATGTTTTCCATGTATCGATGTTACGGAAGTACGAGCCAGATCCATCTCACATTTTGAGTTGGGTTGATGTAGACATTGATGAGGATGTTTACTACGAGGAAGGACCAGTTCAGATTCTTGACACATAACAAAAGGTGTTAAGGAACAAGACGATACCAATGGTGAAAGTCCTTTGGAGACACCACGGAGTCGAGGAGGCTACTTGGGAGCTCGAACAGGAGGTTCGCTCCAAGTATCCAAAGTTGTTTTTTTCCCCAGGTATGGCTTGATTTCGGGGATGAAATCTTTTGAAAGTTGGGGAGAATGTAATGTCTGTGTCAATATATATATATATATATGTGCATGTATGTATATATTTGTGTGTGTGGTGTAATTTAAAACAAAAAGAAAAAGGGAAAAGAAAAAGGAAAATGGGTGGGACCCACATGCAGTTAAAGTGGTCATGAGACCACTTTTTGTTCTAAATTTTTTTATTTTTCCCGTAAGCTTTTCTCTCTCGTTCCAGAAGCTCTCTGTTTTTTTTTTTCTTTTTTTTTTTGGTTTCAATCTTCAAGGCTTGATTGCTCTATCATCTCTTAGTATTTTTAAGTGCCGTTTGAGGCAAAACGAAGCCCACGACGAGCTCTACGCATCCATACCATCAATTTCAGTTTTTGTACACTCTTTGGATTTTGAAATTCAAGACCTACTTTTAAGGGTTTTGTGCAAATTTGAGGTAGGGGCTCTTAATCCATAAGTTTCTTTCTCCAATGTGAATTACATCTTCTAATTTGATGCTAGACATGTTTACTTATGCTAGTTGTAGTTTAAAGAAATTATAGCATGTGTATGTGGTTATGTGAGAACTTGTTTTAAATGTTTTATGTGAAAATTCTTGCTTATGTGATGATTTATATATGTTCGTTGTGTTAGATGCATTGTTGTACAAGAGCATGTTATAATCCCTTGAGAAATTCTTGCAAAATTATGTCTTGCTTACTTAAATAGAGTGAATGTGAAATGATGATTAAATTCATGGTATTGATGCACTCATGCACTTACATTGGGCATGAAACGGGATGAATGAGTTTGAAATGAAAAATGAGATTTTGGGAAAAATGATTTGATGAAATGGTTTTGAAAAAAAAACCCGGTCGCTGCGGGGGTACTAAAGGGCTGGAGTGTTAATATAGCCTAGAGGGGACTAGGGAGTCGCCCTAGCGTGGTTGAGCTAGCTGGGCCCTATAATGATGCCGCGGGGGTACCAAGGGTCAGGGACACTAGCCAATCCTCCTCTCGTGTCGCTGCGGGGTCACCAAAGGACGGGTTATATTAACAGTTTGAAAATGATGTTTGAGAACAGAAAATGGGGAGTAACATTGGCATGCATTTGCATTTCATGACATCGTGTGGGTTGTACTTGAGTTTAGTTGGAATGTTGTATTATTTCCCGACATTGTATGATCCTCATTTCCTGTTGGCCTATTCTTTGTATGGATTCATAGGGACACAAGAAAAGTGTCTTAAGCATCACCTACTGAGCATATTTGCTCACCCTACTATTTATATTATTTTTTTCAGGTCTTGGAAATGAACCGGTGGACGACAATCCACCTCAAGCTTGAAAGTTGTTAGAAGGTTGTTTGCTATTTTGTATTTTGACCCTTTTATGTATATTCATAGTTGTGAGGATATAACTAAGTTAGTATTCATGGCCTTGTAACTTAATAACGAACTTATCTTTTGTTCGATGTAAATGAAACTAATGGAATTATGGTATATGTTTCCATGCAATTGTATCATGTAACGTTGTAAGACAGGGACTTTAAATCTTAACCATGTATTTTGGGACTGTAATTATGTTAATTTAGATTAATTGGTGTGTGGATGTTCCACCATGAGAGGAACTATGTTGAGGTATAATGAACGGATGAATGGGATGCTGGATGATTTTATGTGTTTTGTGTATTAGAACAGGTTGTTGAAGGCCCATTTTTAGGGGAGGTTATGCCGAATTTTTTTAAAATTTTGGCATCAGCTAGGCTCGTTACAAAAATATAGCTATACCACTCAGTGTAATTGTAATTTGAGAATGCAATTGGTACCCTTGGAAAGCTGACGAACAATTCTTCAATTTGGGCTCAAGAATGACCCCATTTGGATTTAAAATGAAGGAGTTATGACTACTCGGAGTTGGGGGTCCAAGACTAAAATCTGTCCAAGGTCAACTGTAATGTTTTTTATTTTTTGATTTTTCGGGATTATATATTTTTGCACCTCGTTTTGTGTGTCACACGCCGGTTAGTATGCCACTAATGCTTCGAGAGTGGTTAGGGACATTTCTTTGAATTTAGGATTCTTAGAAATATATGGCCTAGCGGTATCAGCTTCTTACTTCCCAAAGGGAGGTTAGGGGTTCAAATTTCAGAAGAGACAAGTATGTGAGTACCAACTAAAAAAAAAAAATTGTATTGGACAAGAATTTCCTTCCTTGAAATATAGTATAGAAAAATAAAGATTAAGTTCTCACTTGGTGATTTTCCCCAAGGATGTCAATCCGCTGGCTTGATATATATTCTACTTTTTTTTACCAACTTCTCTCATAATTTGATGTTGACATGGTAGAATTTTCTAACAATATGGAATGTAAGACATTAAAGGTACTTTGAATTGGGTGGTTGAGGTTCTAATGCATTGAAACATTGTGGACTAAGAGCTTGCCAAAACGTCTAAAAAGGTCTAGTGCACACGGCACTGGCTGAAAAGAAATTTAATACCATTTCTTGATCATCATAATTTTTGTTCGTATTAGTTTGCTTATTTTGCATTTGAGCCCTTCTAACTTATTTGTTTAAAGCATATTTATCCTTGAATTTGTGTTCATGGAGGTTTAAGCATAGTTATTTGCTGAACATAATTATGACCATCTAAGCTTAATATTAAAGTTATCCTTAAGTGGCCTTCTTTTTGGTCCAACACATGTTTTTTCAATTTTTTAATTAGAGTGACGATGAGGTTTGAACTCGAGACATGTGGCTCTGATACCATGCTAACAAACCATCTACTCCAAAAGCTTCAGCTAATAGATAGGGTGCAACTTTTATATTTATATCCTTCAACAATCCTCAATAATATAACTATAATTAGGTAAAATATACTAATAACTTTATATTAGTGAAAAAGAATGATCAACTGCTTTTTCTTCAATGGAATCAGTTTCAGTCATAGTTTCCATTTTGTGGAAAGAGTTATGACCATTTTACCTTTCGGTGTTTACGAGTTTGGGTAAGGACACGGCTAATATTTCGGACCCCAAATTTGGATCATTACAAATCGAATTTCAATCCGATCGATCGGTTTCTCAAACACTTAGAAAAATTTCAAAAGATACCAGAATTTTCTCTTAGTTTAATTAATGGCACTTTGAATTGTGTTGTTCTAGAGTGCATTTAAACCACGCCAACCATGATTCTGCCAAAAAGTCTAAAGGTGTGTATAATGGTTCACTTCATATGGCACTAACTCAAGGGGTTGTTGTTGGAATAATGTTTCAAATTAATCTTATATTATAAAATTTTTTAGTCAAGACATCTTAGATTTTGATGTACTTTCAAATCATATTTTACATCCAAATATTTAATGTAATTTCACTGATACTGTGAGTTACAACTTTCTTCACACCAATATAAATAAAGGGTCTGAAAAAGCTGTGGTGGGTAAAATCGAAAAATGATGAATTAATAAGAGTAAGGTCAAAATGGTCTTTAAATAAGATTATAATGTTAGATAATTTGCAAAACAGTCTTTAAATGATGAACTCATTTAAATTTGTTTGTGCTAATTTGCTTATCTTGCACTTGACCCTTAAAACTTATGCTTAAATCTGTATTCATGGAGGTTTAACAGTCACATGTAGTCCGTTTACATATGAAATAGTATCAATATTTTTATTATGCTGTGATTTATTCCAGAGCAGAAATATGTTTGTTAACTAATTTTGTTACACAATTTTTAGCTGACATCTAACATGTTGTAGCTGCTACTATTCTATTACAAAATTTGGAATTCAAGCTATTTCACAGTCCATCGGTAATGAAATTATGGACATAACTCGTAATAGAAATAAGGAAGGGAAAGCTAGGAACCAACTGGACAACAAAAATATTACAATAGAGAAGAATAATTGGAGTACATTAACCAAAGGAAAACGATCACAAATGTTACAAAAAATAACAATTTATTTGAAAAGTGAATTGACGGGTGTCGTCTTAGAACTGTACTTGGTCCTACGCACCTACAATAAAAGAAAATATATTAACTTTCAAAAACATCAAATTTATGTTAAAAAGAACTAAGCTTGATACAAATAAGCCATAAGAATCTAAGGCTGAATGACAACGGGGATCTGATTTTCGTATAATTGCTTTTGCAATATAATTTATTTTTAAGTTAATTAATTAAAGAAACAATTTTTTCTCCACGAAATTCAAACAATTGTATAAGTGATGGGGTTATACCTTCTTATGATTGAACTGGATTTGCAATTCTCCTTCCATGACGTGTTCCAAAAAGATTATTCATGTTGACTTGCAACTTTGTTACAATGTCACTCATATCCAATCTTTCAAATGGCGATTCAGTTGAACAAGCAATACCAATTCTAAATATTGAAGCCAAACACTCTTGAATCTTGTGAAAGTTCTCCCCCGTTTCTTCTTGTTGAAGAAGTACTGGGTCTGCAATATTGACTACTCTCTCTGGCAAAGCCATCTTAGCATAGTTATGAAGATTCATACCATCATTGAACATTTCATCAGTTGGCCTTTTTCCAATAAACATCTCCAATAAGAGTATTCCATAGCTATATACATCGCCAGAAGTTGACACCCCACTTCCCATACCATACTCTACACTCCACACAACCCAATATAGAAACAAATGTAAAGGAGTTGATGTTAGTGAAAATACATGTTTCATGTGACATTTAAAACATAACAAACCTTATACTAATATGTCATGAGATAATTAATAATATACTAAGAAATCATTAATTAAATATGTAACTCTATATATAATTAAAGATACAAAATAAAGTAATGAAATAATAATTATAAATAAAGAACCTGAACCGAGGCTAGTATTGGATACTATGTCCTTAAGACAGATTCGCCCCGCTATGGTGCTAACGGACTCAGTGACGTCTATCTCCCAGGATACAACAGTCTACATCCACCAGTAGCAGCACTACAAACTCATGAATACGGTGAACTTCCCCGTGTAATACTCTCTCTGACTCAAAAATGCATCTATGCTATATAAATGCTGAATTGGGGTGCAATTCGAATCAAATGGTTCGGACCAATCTTAATATGGCTCGATGAAATTGGATTAGGGTCTAAGTGGTTCGGACCACTTAACCTATGGTTTGAACCCACTTGGGTTGGGTTCAAGTCTAGAGAGGGAGATAGAAGAAAATGAAAATGAACAACTTGCAAATGATCCAAAGGGAGGTATTTATAGAAACAGAAATGCCTTTTCGGATGGGGTTTGTCTTTTTATCATTGGACACAACCATTGCAACCTATTGCAATGGTTCACATGGTGTCTATTCACCACTAGACACATCCATTCCAATAGGTTGCAATGGTTCACATGGTGTCTGTTCACCAATAGACACATCCATTCCAATAGGTTGTAATGGCTCACATGGTATCTGTTCACCAATAGACACATCCATTCCAATGGGTTGCAATGGTTCACATGAATAGTTATGTCTGTTAGTTTTGTGTTGCAACGCTTTAGAAACAGATGCAACTCTTTGAAAAACAAATACAACCCTTTAGATATAAATGCAACCCTTTGGAAAAAAAAACTAACTTTTAATTTAAATTCAAAAACCAACCACCCATTTAAATAAGCCCAGCCCAAAATTAAAGGCCCAATCTAAGATTCCTTTTAGTAAAAAGAATAATTGGGCTTTACAATTAGACCCAAGCCCAAGCTCAAGTTTGGCTTATTTAAATTTCAATTGGTTTCAACATTTTTTCCATGTGGGACAAACACTTCCTACATTTTACATACCCATTTAGGCTTATCAAAACACCACTCTTTGGAACTAATTTCTCATTCACCCGGAAACGGATTTGAGAAAGTAAATATACCATGTTCATCTCCTTATGGAGAGAAACACGCTCCTCTAGAGATCCGCAAAAAATTCTTAGCAGAATCTATTCCAAATCTCATCTAAAGTTTATACTTTTAATGCCTCTGTTTCCAACAATCCCCCATATGAATGGAAATTTGCGTAAAATGTAAAAGATGATCATGCAGATACTAGAGAGAGTATAGTCGGAAAGTTACTGCATCAGGATAGATGGCTTTTGGCTTTGAACCTTCCCTAGTGTATTGCTATCGGATTTACTAGCTAACCAGTGAACGCGATGTCTTGAATTGTTCAGCCGTTTGTGCAAACCAAGACAATAACAAACACACTGTATCTTTCCTCACAAAGTTGGTTCTCATTGTTGTGTTCATTTTGGCCCTGAACAAATCCTGGTATTCAATGAGTGCTTCAGAAAACTTAACCTTTATAGTTCTCATAGAAGCGGCCCCACTTCACACTCATATAGGTGACTTCTTATTAAGAGTATCCTACCATACCCTACTTGAATTTTCAAGGTATAAGAGTCATTAAAAGCGTAGCTTATCCTAATCCTCGCTGTAGGTAGCACTGTCTCATCATAGAAATGGGCAGAAGATTTATATCTTCCCAGTGCTTCTGGTGAGTCACTCAGAATTTCTGTTGTCCCTTTGAACCTAAATCTTGGGATCTCCAGTCAGCTAGGTTAGGTTTCCATTAAGGTGACTCGTTAGCTTTCGGCTTTAAACCCCATTCCCCTCGATGAACTGTACAATTGCTCTCTAATACAACCTTAAATTTTATATGTGGCCACAAGGTTGTGTTTAGAAATATTACATTCTGCAAAGATTTCTCCAGTTGAGAACAACTGTATACTTTGTGCCCTAAGATTGCTTATTGTTAGCAATATCCTTTTTCTTTAGTGGCACAGGTGTAGACTTACTTCGAAATGTCCTCTAGGTGAAGTCTATTAACTTTTCTATTTTATTTATTCAAAGTTTATAACTTTGAGTTATATTAAGGACATACAACTACACCTTTAAAATAAAAGAACTATCCACTCTTGGATTTGAAGTCTTTAATATCCTATATCCAGATTGCATAACTGTTATACCTCCAATTTAGTTAGATACCTTGATCTATGCAATATTGGACTTAGGGTGTATCTCAACTTCCAATTCATTGTTTTTCAGTGATCCGATCCTGGATTGAAAATGTGCAATTAAACACAATTATTAAGATGCCTTTCAATCTCAACTAATGATATACTTTGACTAGTATTTATATTTGAGATTTTCATCTACAAAAGTTAGCTAGGCTTTTGTTATCATAACTAATATTATCTCAATTTTACTCTATTGAGAATATATTATGTTATCAGATGTTAAATCTTTCATATCAAATATACTAATTAGTATATCATTAATATTTTTTTTTAAGGCATACAATGACTTATGCATCACATTTATGTTATTGTCTCGATTCTTGCTCTAATCCACTCAAGGACTTATAAGCTTGCACACTTGACTTTTCAACTAGAACAAATAACCTAGTTCTTTAACTGAAAAAGAACTCTTCTAGTTGTTCCATAATATTTTCCTCATAGAAAATAATATGCACTATTATTATAATACTATAAATGATTTTTGGTTTTATCCAAAATCTTTTAGGATTAAGAACCCCCACATTTATAAGTATTTCTTATCTGATGAGGTAACTCGTATCAAATATCATCTATGGACAATATCCCCTCAAAACTTTGAGATAATCGTGAAATTTTATATATGATATATTTCTTATGGTTTTCTAACTCTTGAAATACCATATATTAAATATTTCACTTTATCTACCTTTCCAAGGTTCTATATTCGCTTCTCAACAAGCATGTATAACAATCTCTAGTGCATATGTATTCATTTTATCTATAATATGTCACAAACGTTACTGTGAATTAATGTTAAAGATATTAATTAATTACAATGGCCTTTAATTAATATTTACTTCTATATCTCTTGTATTTATGAATTAAGTTATTCATGTTTAGATTCATGTCAAGTCAATCCTCTTAACATGTCATAACCTTTCATGTGTCACACATCACATAACTCAACCATTTAAGCAACTAACTCCCTTTTTGTTTAAGCCTTGGATACATCACCACATAGTGAGCACTCACTTCTCAACTATCATTACTAGTTAAAAGTGAGTTCTTAGCTATCATTACTAGCTTAGATTAAGCACACTCTTCTCATATCTCACTACTAGGTTATGATGAGCACACACTTCTCTGCTATTACCACTAGCTTGAAGTTAAGTTTGCTCAGTTATCAATTCTAGTAGCTCTTAACCTTAGTACACACTTATCTAAGTAGTTTACCTTGGTAGTAGAGTAATTTGTTTTGAAGAATATTCTTCAAAAACTACTACTTTACAAGTACTATTATTCACTCCTACATGAGCAGATATGATGTATAGCTCAAATAGCTTATAACTAAAATGACTACTCATCACCCTCGTTTTTTTTTACTGCCAGGTATAGAGCTATAACCAATTAACAAATTGTCCTCTTAGGTCTGTACACTTCATTAATCATTTTAACTTGTAACTAAGCTAACTAGTTTGCAACTCAGTAACATTTTAGCTTTTAACTAAATTGTACACTAGAGCTGATTAGCTTGATTTAGCATGTCTTGGTGTACTTGCTTAGTGTATCCATAATATTTTTCATTGAACCCTTTAGAATTATCGGAAATCTCTCTCTTATTCAGCCTATTCGCAGCTATACGTGTCTTAGACACTAATATAGATCTTTTTCCCTTGACTATTGGGAGAATTGATATAGATAAACTAGTTAATTTTTGTTTGTTGTATTAAATACACAAACCAGTCATGAACTCATATACAAAGTTAATAATATCACACATTAAATAAACTGTATTGTACAATTGTATTACTATGCACACTAAGTAATACAACTACATAATTCAATATTATAGTAAACATTTATAAAAACAATATTGAACTTGCGTAAATAAAAATAACAATATAATTTAATATTAAATTGCATAATTAATTATATCACATAATTAATTTAGCAAATAATAATATTACAGAGAATATTTTGCTTCCTTAAAGTTTTGTGGCTTATTCTCCAATAAACATGCTAGAAAATTAAGACCAAAAGATTTAGACGTTCTAAGATTTAGATACCCCCACACTTTTAAGAATTTATAAGAAGGTTTTCAACCTTTCCATAATTCATATAGTGTCACATTCGTTTTCTTTGAAGGTGTTTTATTGAGAACATAATTTGCGGAAAGCAAAACTTATCCCCCACAAATTCTGATTTAAATCAGAACTTATCAACATAGCATTCATCATTTCTTTGTGAATTATACCAAGTTCTAAACAATTATAAGAGCATAGTGTTTTGTATTAACCATCTCTATTTGATTTAAATTTAAGATAATATAATATACTACATAATATCATATTACAAAAATAACTCAACCAATATTGAATTATATCAATTATCTATTTATATTTACATAGTTTGCTTCAATTTCACGTAATATTGAACACATCAATATTTAACATATTATCATATAATAATGTATATAACAATATTTTATTATATTTCAATTATTAGTATAATCTATACTTGTTTATATCTTAAATAGAAACATATAATAAAATCTATACAAAGAAGGAATCTGTCTTAAGATTGTTAGTGAAAATATATGTTTCATGTGACATTTAAGATATAACAAACCTTATACTAATATGTCATGAGATAATTAATAATATACTAAGAAATCATTAATTAAATATGTAACTCTATATTTAATTAAAGATGCAAAATAAAGTAATGAAATAATAATTATAAATAAAGAACCTGAACCGAGGCTAGTATTGGATACTATGTCCTTAAGACAGATTCGCCCCGCTATGGTGCTAACGGACTCAGTGGTGTCTATCTCCCAGGATACAACGGTCTACATCCACCAGTAGCAGCACTACAAACTCATGGATACGGCGAACTTCTCCGTGTAATACTCTCTCTGACTTAAAAATGCATCTATGTTATATAAATGCTTAATTGGGGTGTAATTCGAATCAAATGGTTCAGACCAATCTTAATATGGCTCGATGAAATTGGATTAGGGTCTAAGTGGTTCGGACCACTTAACCTATGGTTTGAACCCACTTGGGTTGGGTTCAAGTCTAGAGAGGGAGATAGAAGAAAATGAAAATGAACAACTTGCAAATGATCCAAAGGGGGGTATTTATAGAAACAGAAATGCCTTTTCGGATGGGGTTCGTCTCTTCATCATTGGACACAACCATTGCAATAGGTTGCAATGGTTCACATGGTGTCTATTCACCACTAGACACATCCATTCCAATAGGTTGCAATGGTTCACATGGTGTCTGTTCACCAATAGACACATCCATTCCAATAGGTTGCAATAGTTCACATGGTATCTGTTCACCAATAGACACATCCATTCCAATAGGTTGCAATGGTTCACATGAATAGTTATGTCTGTTAGTTTTGAGTTGCAACCCTTTAGAAACAGATGTAACTCTTTGAAAAACATACACAACCCTTTAGATATAGATGCAACCCTTTGGAAAAAAAACTAACTTTTAATTTAAATTCAAAAACCAACCACCCATTTAAATAAGCCCAGCCCAAAATTAAAGGCCCAATCTAAGATTCCTTTTAGTAAAAAGAATAATTGGGCTTTACAATTAGACCCAAGCCCAAGCCTAAGCCCAAGCCCAAGCCCAAGTTTGGCTTATTTAAATTTCAATTGGTTTCAACATTTTTTCCATGTGGGACAAACACTTTCTACATTTTGCATACCCATTTAGGCTTATCAAAACACCACTCTTTGGATCTAATTTCTCATTCACCCGGAAACGGATTTAAGAAAGTAAATATACCATGTTTATCTCCTTATGGAGAGAAACGCGCTCCTCTAGAGATCCGCAAAAAATTCTTAGCAGAATCTATTCTAAATCTCATCCAAAGTTTATGCTTTTAATGCCTCTGTTTCCAACAGTTGATTCAATTATATATCTCTTGATAAAAGCATATATAACACAATTTATCATTAGCATTAAAAAAAAAAAAAATTTCTAAAAAGATTAAACGTAATAACTATGTGGAGCAAAGATTTCGAAGCCGAAGTTTAAGTGGTGCAAAATTTAGACAACACAATTTCCTAATATGCAACCCTGAGCAAACAGTTCATCTATCAAACAAATTCCTAGTCAATTTAGTAAGATGACTCTTATGATCTGCCAGTCTAATTTTTCTACACATTTTTCTATTTGAATACATTGTAAATATAAATCAAGTAGCTAGAGTAATGATAAGAAAAACAGAACAAGAAGTATAAATATACCTGGAGGCATATAACCAACTGATCCTCTGATTCCAATAGAATTGGTTTGATTTTCGCTAATATTTTGGTTTGCAACAAGAAGAAATCTTGATATCCCAAAGTCACCAACATGTGCAGTTATGTCATCATCTAGAAGAATATTACTTGGCTTCAAATCGCAGTGAACTATGGGAGTTTGGCAATGATGGTGAAGATAATCCAATGCACAAGCAACATCAATGGCAATATGTAATCTCTGAACTAGACTTCAATCTTTTGGCACCTCACCTTGTCCTCCAATTGGATGCAACCAGTCATCTAGACTCCCATTGACCATGAACTCATAAACAAGAGCCTTAAAATCATTATTTTGAAAATCAACACTCGAACATGCACTGAGTATCTTTACAAGATTTCGATGCCTGATGTTTCTCAAGGCCTCACATTCAGTGATGAAACTCCTTGAAGCTCCTCTGTGCAAAAGGTTAAGCACCTTCACAGCAATCTTCTTGCCATCAATTATTCCCTCATATACAGCCCCAAAGCTACCAATCCCTATCAAATTAGATTCGCTAAACCTATTGGTAGCTCTATACAGACTTTGGTAGGATACTCTTAAAAACAAGGTTTCTGAATCTTCTGTAGAAGGTCTTTCGCGTTTCTTTCTACACCAACAAACATAAAGAGCACAGAACACCAAAGTCACTACTAAAAGTCCCGAAGCTATGGCGATTACCATCTTGAAGGAAAGAGTAGAACCATTCTTCTTAGGATCCGTGAAGTTGCATCTGGGCAGCTGTAATTCAGGTATACCCCCACAAAGCTTACTATTTCCCATGATTGAAATTGCACTTGCATTCCCGAACACTCCCTTTATTGGTACCATGCCATCAAAATTGTTATAAGAAAGATTCAAAAACTGCAACATTTGAAAGCTCTTGAAATATTCTGGAATTTTTCCTGTAAAATTGTTGCTTGAAAGATCCAATTCTAGAATACCTTTAAGATTGCCAAAAGATGAGGGGATGCTTCCTTGGAAGAAGTTACTCTCCATATTTAAATGTTCTAACTTTACACAACTACCAATTGCGCTCGGCATTTCACCTGATAACATGTTTTGATTAACATACAATCCACCAAGATTTTTCAAGTTTCCGACTTCTACAGGAAGTGAACCAGTGAAATGGTTATGAGAAAGATCAAGATATATTGACAAGGACAAGAGATTGAACACATCTAGGGGTATGGTACCACTGAGTTTGTTTTTAGCAAGATCCAATAACAACAAATTTTGGCATTTTCCAAGACTTGAAGGGACACATCCTTGAAGATTATTTTCATACACACTGAACTCGATTAACACACTTAAATTTCCTAAAGAAGACGGAATGCTTCCAGAGAAATTGTTCGTAGCCAAATTCAATTTATTCAGTTTCTGAAGCTTTCCAATCTCAGTGGGAATGTTACCTGTGAACTGGTTGTTCCACATAGTTAGCCAATTCAAATTGATGAGATTCCCAATTGCAACCGGGATGCTTCCATATATATGATTAACAGCTACAGCGAAAACTTCAAGCTTAGTTGACAAGTTGCCAATGGATTGGGGAAGAATTCCTCCAAAATTATTTCCCTCCATAGCCAAGCAACTTAAATTGGTGGCATTAGTCAAAGAGTAGATAAAGCTCAAGTCACCAACTCCTCCACTTCCAAGATGATTATTAGAGAAGATTACACGCCGAAGGTTACATAGCCTTTCCATGGTAGGCACTTTTCCATTAAGATTGTTTTCACCAATGAAAATCTCTTCAAGATTAGTTGCGTTGGAGATTGAAATAGGAATGGATCCAGTAAACTGGTTTCCATGAAGGCTGAGGCTTTCAAGACTTGGAAGAGTGATGCCAATCTCAGTGGGAAGTTTGCCTGTGATTCGGTTATTATACACCAAATTAAAATATTTGAGTGATGAAAGATTGAAGATTAAGGGAGGAATGGAACCAGACAACGTATTTTCCCCCAGTGAAATGAATGTTAGTTTTGTCAGTTGGCCAAGAGCTTCAGGAACACTCCCACTAAGATTATTTTTGTCTGCATTAAGCTGCTCAAGAGATGATAAGTTCATAAAAGAATGAGGAATGTTTCCGATTAGATTGTTATGCGCAATAAACATTGACCTGAGCTTTGACAAGGAGCCAAATTCCCTAGGAATTGACCCTACCAGTTTGTTGTATCGGAAATCAAACCCAACGAGGGTAGTGCATGCAGATAAGTTGGCAGGAATGCTGCCACTTATTGAGTTATTGTTTAGGCGTAAAAATTGCAGTCTTCGGAGGCGGCCAACTTCTGGAGGGGTTTCATCTTCAAAACTATTGTTTTGGAGATTTAATACTCTCAGAAAGCTTAGATTCCCAATGTGTGGTGATATGGACCCAAACAATTTATGGGAATTTAGGTCTAACTTGATGACCCTTTTGTGTCGACGACCGCATGTAACACCATGCCACTGACAGAAATGAATGGAAACATTCCATGAACTCATGACCATGAAAGGATCATTAGTTATTTTGGCCTTGAATGCCAACAATGCAAATCGATCTGTCTCATTCCCTCCGGGTTCAGAGGTGGCTGCGGTGGTAAGAAAGCTTGCATGCATCAAGCACAAGCAACATGCAACAATAACATAGATGGAAATATTGTAAATTGACCTTGATATGCTTAAGCTCGGGCCAGGTAAAAGTCCCATTTGAGTACTGCAGTACCTGCAGAGCAAAAAATATATAAATAAATAAAAAGTCTTGGAATATAGTATAAAATCAGGTGATTGAGAGAATTAATTTGATAAGAAGAATTACTCAGAGGACAATAGAATGTTGTAGTATTGTACGAGTGGGCTGGATTTAAGTTCGAGGAACTTAAAGAATTGGCCAAAACTTCCTTCCTTGAAATATATTAGTGAAAAATAAATAATGGTAAAGTTCTGATCACCAAGTGATTTGCCTTAAAAGGATTTTAATCCGTTGGTTTGATATATATACCGCTTTTACTTCAAATTTTCCCATAGTTTGATGTAGACATGGTCGAATTTTCTAACAATATGGGTGGTTCTAGTGCATTTAAATCATGGTACACATGACCTTGCCAAAACGTCTAAAATGGTCTGGTACCATGGAATATTAATGTGTGGTTCTATTACATTTTGACCTTGTAGACCAAGACCATATTTGCCAAAACGTCTAAAAAGGTCTGGTACCATGGTAAACACGGCAATTAATGCTCAAGTTGTTTTTTCTCTGCTTTCTCTCAAAATGGACCTACAAGTTAGTCACGACAAGGAATCAGTTTTTGGGAATACTTTTTAAAATTATTTTTATTTATTTATTTTTTATTTAGTTAAGACATCTTAGACTTTGGGCACTTTCCTTCTTTTACATAAGTAGTATTTAATATAGTTTCACTTATGTAAGATATTAATTTTGTAATTGACAAATTTCAGTATTAAAACGTGTTCGATTGAGTTGTAATATATTTTTTTTGTTTAATTTTGTGAGTCTTGACGGAAGCCAAACCAAAAGTGCAACCAATATGTATTCGATATGGATTCGGTTGAGAACATCACTTTAGAAAATGCATGTGCATTTAAAATGTTTTCAAAGTATTTAATTTCATAAATTGCATTCTGTCTTTGCAGAGTAGGTTGCGTATAAACCATTACTTTCTGGCTTAGCAGAACTTGCGGAACAGGTTGCGCTATTGCTACCAAAATAGAAAATTGAATCTTTTTTGTTTTGGTTTCTCTTTTTTGGCTAGATTTTTGAAATATCATACATGCACGAAATTGATTTGGGTTTCAGGTATTTTTGGGTTTTCCAAAAATCTATATAATCTCTCTTTTACTCTACATTAGGGTGGCTTTTGGAATGTAAATTTTCAACTATTTTAAAAGAGCATTCTGAGAGATATTTTTAATTCAGAAAATAACTCTGTTTTTTTTTATATATATATTTTATTTTTGAGAGCACACACATAAACACGAGTGATTTAGGGTGATGTTCTCTATTTAATTGGAATTTGAACATAATTGAAAATTCAAAGATTTCGAGAAGCAGGAATTTTAATTGTTCTTCATTAAATTCAGATTTGAAGAAAATGGGTAGAGCGATCATACTTTGAAGAGGTCAAAGTATTCGTGGAACATTGTTTGATCTACCAGCAATTCTACAGAAATTGTAATGTTTCAGATTTTCGTCATTTTTCATTTTCTGGAATTTTTTGATTTTTTTCGAGGGTATTTTCATCTTTTTTTCATTTTGCTTGCTGGACACCGTGGGGTGTGCTAGGTATGTCAGAGTGTTGAATGAGATATTCCCTTGAGTCCAGGACTCTTAGAAATGCATTGGTTGCCATTTCGGCATTTTTTTCGTTTTTCGGGCCTGGAGGTTCATGTGGGACCAGCTACCGGGGTCGTGCATAGGGGTCGTTGCATGTGCACGGCGATTGTGTCATGGGTCCATTGCATTATATGTATTGTTATTTTGTGCATAGGCTAATTATTTAAATGCTTATTGTGGTTGTAAAATGAATTATTTATATATATAAATGTTAAATGTATTATTTGTTGCCGTGGGCCCCACAGGGGCTTTAGTCATTGTAATGACAAGGGGTGACTTTCTCTTTCCAGGCGGTTGCCTTCTCTCTTCCTTTGCTTTTTATTTTTCTTTTTCATTTCACAACTTCAAGCTTTGATCCTCCTTCTTCTGTTAAGAATTAGACTTTGCCACTGAAGGCAAAGTCGACGAGCACGTCGAGGCTAACATTTTGACAGGAGCAAATCACTATTTGGGGCATTTTCAAAAATTCAAATTTGGAGGACTATTGGGGCTTTTTTTTTCTAAGCGAGGTAGGGCTGCTCTACTACATGTATTCTTTGGCTTTAGTGAGTTTTCCCACTTTAATTTGTTTGTAAGCATGCTTAAATTGTTTGTTTTGTTTATGGCTTTGAGAATTTTATATATTAATGTGTTTCTTGAGCTAAAAATACATGTTATTTGTTATGATGTGATGAAGTATGCTATGCTAAAATTATTGGATGACATGTATGTAAATAACTACTGAGATTTAATTTTTGTGAAATAATGAGATGATCCCTTGAAAATTTTCTTGAAAGCATGCGGTTTAGACATTGTTATAGTTGAATGTAAATTATGAAAAATTACGTATATTCATGGTTTAGTATGGCATGAGGCTTTCATGCACTTCATTGGGAAGAAAAAAAGGGGGAAAATGTTTTGAAAAGCAAGAAAATCATTTTTGGGAAATGTTTTGAAAATGAGTTTCGAAAACCTGGGCGCCTAGGAGTTGCCTAGTGGTCTGTGGCGTTAATGTGATCTAGAGGGAACTAGGGAAAGACCCTGGTGTGGTTGAGCTACCTAGGCCCAGAACGATGCCATGAAGGTGCCATGTGGCTGGGGATAACTAGCCAATCTTTCCCTCGTGGCGCCATAGAGGTGTTATGGGTCGGGTTGCATTAACGGTTTGGAACGGTGAAACGTAATTGTTTTGGAAAATGGGGAGCGACATTGGCATGATATTGTACTACATTGTCATATATGGTGTATTTGTGATTGGATGACATTTATTTATATACTTGTTGTTGTGGTTATTGATGTGCATTTCCTATGGCATGATCCCACCTATTTTTTACCTATTCTCTACGTGGATTCACACCTAACAACATCACACTTAACTTCTGCCTTCCTCATTGGAAATTATAACAAAAGGTATAACCTACTCATTTGGTCGTAAAAGGTGTGTCTTTGTAATGTCTCGAATTTTTCTGAAAATTTTTATTTTATTTATTTTCATTCCTCGTTTTGCATGACACGTGGGACTCGAGGGCCATTTTGGTCATTTTTTGAGTCGAGGCATTTAGAAATGTAATTTTAATTATTTAGAGTAACTCAGAGTTGAAAGAATCATTTTTCTAATTTTTTAGAAGTCTGGATGACTTTCAGGCTCGGGAACCTCTCCCAGTTACCAACAGGCCAATGGTCTAGCGGAATTAGCCTCTTACTTCCCAAAGGGAGGTCAGGGGTTCAAGTCTCAGAAGAGACAAGTGTGTGTGAATACCAACTAGGAAAAAAAGAAAAAAAAAAAAAAAAAAAAAACCTCTCCCGATTTTGCCGTTTATATAGAAAAATTCGGGACATTACAAAGACACACACACACACACACACACACACACATATATATTGGGAGATATTTAGTGGGATTGTGACAACCCGAATTTTTAAGATTTTTAATTACATTTATTTCATGATTTATAATTATCAGGATTGAGTATTTAATTTTAAATTTAAAGATTTATCCAATTGAAATTTTTAATGGGATTGATTTAGTTTAGTTTCATTGTATATGTATATAATATATATACATATGTGGTGCATGAAAAAGGGAGCAACCGAAGTGGGAAGAAGAGTGAGAGAAATGGAAATGGCTTATTGGGGTTGTTTGATTACATATTATATATATATATATATATATATATATATATATATAATATGGTGTGAAGGTGGCAGCAAGGCAAATGAAATGAGGAGAAAAGGGAAATGTTATGGTAATGGTGGGCGGGTCCCACTCTTGTTATTTAATGGGTATTGCTTTTGGAATTGTTACATATTATTCATTGTATATCTGATGGAGGGAATAAGGAGGTGATTGGGTTAGACGAAATTGGTGGGAAAAAGGAAAGAGAGAAATGATATTTAGCAGGTCCCACTATGTGTTTTGTTTGACCAAAACTCTTTTGGCCTTGATTTGTGTACGTGGGCTGCTATGTGGTTTGGTGATGATGTAAATGAAGATTTTTAAAGGCTTTATTGGTTTTGTGCCATTCTATATATAGTATATATACATATATAGTGTCAGATGGTGATAAGCGAGGACATGGGCGGTTGGGCGAGATGGAAAGTAAAGAAAAAGGAAGCGTGACCCACTAACTGACTTGTTTGGCCAAAAATCTGTGGTTTTCACGTGGGTTTGGTCTGATGTATAGGAATGAGATATTTTTTGGGTGGTGAGCAGTTTTTGTGTCGGTGGTATTGCCATTATATATTGAGTAGTGTTGTGCACTGATCGGTATTGAAAGAAAGTTGAGGCAGAGAAAAAAAAATCATAGAGAATTTGCAGATAGAGAGGGCTGAGAGTTTGAGGACAGTGAGGGAGTCTGATAAGTGCTTAAATGTTGCACATTTCAGCGCCTAAGTTAGGGTATTTCAGTCCTTGCATTTATCTTATTTTCATGTTTTAGTCCTAATTTATGTTTATGTGTATTTCAGGGCAATAAAGCTAAAATGAGCTAAAAACAGTCCACTATAGCCTTTTGGAGTCAAGCCAAAGCATTGGGACAACATTCAGAAGGAAGCAAAGATGCAACAATGCGTCGCGTCCAGACACCATTCCTCGTATCCGAACGCGAATCTATTATACACTGCGTCCGAATGCCAAATTTTTTACGGCAATTTTAGTTACGGGTTTGACCTGTTTTTATGGCTATGGGTTTTAACCTTTTGGGCTGATTTTTATAACCTATAGGCTTTATTAGGTTTGTATTAAAGAGAAAACAAGGACCCATTTAGAGATTTATTATTATTTTTAGTTTTATTAAGTTTGATATTTTGAATCAATATATCGGTCTATCTGGAAAAAGGTGAAAGAGGAGAATAGAAGAAGATCGAACAGGCTAGGGTTTTGAAAAAACTCAGAAATGAAGGGCCAAAAGAAGGAGATGGAGCTTGTTGACACCATGATCCTCTCCTCGATGAGCTAGTTCTTCACTTAGGGCTTAGATGAGCCCTAAGTTCATGTAACCTAAACGTTTGTATTTCTTTTCTTAGGGAATAATTATGTTGTAATTAAATGTATGGCCTTGTGATTTATTTATATATACATGCTTGATTTGATAAATTAGGGATTATATTGATGAATTCTTCC